CTGGTGATGGGTATTAAAGAGGGCACATTCTGCGTGGAGCACTGGGTGTTATGCACAAACAATGAGTCATGGAACACTACATCAAAAACTAATGATGTAATGTATGGTGATTAACATAACAATAAAAAATTAAAAAAAATTAAAACAAAATTTTTAGAGGGAAAAAAAAGAAAGCAGGTTTCCGTTCCACCTGCCAACTATCCTGTGCTTCTGGGTTTCTTTTTGTAAGCCCCAGTTGTAAACTGGCCAGATGCAGCAAAGCTACATATATAAGGAGAATAATGCATGTACTTTCCAGCTTGGTCTACAACATTACTGTAAGGTCGCCCATCTCCATGAGGTAGTGTGCAGAATAAAATATAGGAGAGCACCCCTTCTCTGTTTCTTCCTCCAACCCAAGGGTCACTGGTCCTGAAACCTATTAATAAATAGCTTCCCATGATCAAATAAGTTTGGGAAAAGCAATGGTAAAAAATGTTGATAAATTTCTTTACAGCTGAGCTTTCTGAGAGCCTATAATATGCATGGAGAATCTCAGAGTGAGGAGTAAATCTTAGTATTTTCCATGTTTATTTCCCTTTTATTCAATGAGCATCGTATGGGCCTGCTATGCTTCAGAACATGTTTTGTAAAGAACTAGTTAAGAACCATGTCTATAATGTCACAACCAGGCTGCGTCGGGTTTCATTCAACTGAGCATGACTAACATGTGGTAGCCTTTAATGGATCTGAGGTTGAAAAACATTATTCTCGTAGGTAATGCAACCCATGAGTTAAAAAACATCGGTTTGTATGGAAGGGCTTATGATTAAGGGAGGAAATTCAGGTGATGAAAAGCTTCTAGCAGGATGGAATACCTAGTACAGAAAACTCTGTTTACAACCACCAAGTAAATTCACCAAGTAACTTTTACCAGTTGAATTTTTGCCAAGGTCATTATCAATTCGAAGTAAGTTGCTTTTTGTCTTTGGCTAAAATGAACCAAATAGCAAGGTATATATGAACGGTTGATCATCAACCAATTTTGGTTCTCCTGAGCTCTGGGGGATGGTGGAATCAAATATTTATTAAATCATATATTCCCAAATAACTGTTTTTTGAATGCAAGTAATATTTCAAAGCATTCCCAGCATCATTATACAAGAAGAGGGGATATTTATATTCCTCAGGCTCAGAGTATTCAGATGCCTTCAAAATGAGATGTGAATAAAGACAGACTTTTGTAAACTGATTTCTAAGGTGCTCTTAAAGATCCACTGCGTTTTTGGCCAAGCCATCTGAAGTGATATAGTGAGGTAAAGTGATGAAGGTCCAAGACAACCTTAGCCCAAACTCAAGTCGGAGCTCTCCTGAATGTTTCCCTGAGTCCCTATAGAGCAGGGATAACTTTGGGCAAGTACTTTTTGTGGAAGTAAGTGATACTCCCATAAAGTTCACCAGTTGAACTTCAGTCCAGTTTACCCTTGGAATTACCCACTATGGCCTCCAAATTACAAGGTGTGATGAACCCGAAGCACATAGTGTTCTAAAACAGCTAGCATCAGTTTTTTTTTTTTAAAGTCTGCCAATTTTATTAGTTCCTAGTAGAACATGGTTTTTGAACTTTACCTTGTTCTAACTGAACATGTTGCTTCATAGAATAGATAGCTCCTTTAATCCTAGAATACATACAGAAAATGTGTCAGATTTGTAGTTTGCATGAGCTCAAATAGCTCAGAACTTACCATCAGGACTTGGAGAGTTTTCTGTGTAGCCAGAGCCTTCGCTTTGCACAGGAACTCTAGGTGTGTCCTCGCCTTGAGCTGAAAGAAAGAAGATAGTCCTTGATTAATAGAGAATTAGAACAGCCTGACTGCCAATTTTTCTGTCACCCTCCATTGCCCTCTTAAATTTAAAAATACTCCCAGGATTCAACTTCTTTTGCAGAAAAGGTTAAGGGAGGAAATAGTGGGTTGAACTGCCTGAATTCTTTAGCACTGTCATCTAAATTCTCTTCAATTTGTGAGATAATTGCATACATACATACATACACAATTTCTCAAATTAAAAATCTGGTAGCATGAAAGCAGGAAAACTTGGTTTAATCAGAACAACCTACAATTTAAATTTAGGGAAATGTTTGTGTGTGTGTAAGTTTATGTAGCTTAACCTTTGAAGAGAAAAGGGAAAGAAAAAAACCTGTTTTGCCTTAGGCATGCCTGAAAGCTAAAGATTCATTTCCCTGGCAGTGAGGTCCTTTTGTTTAAACACAAAATGAATGGCTTAGATGCTTTCCTAGGAGACGGTCTCAGATGCTGCCATTTTGAATTGCTGAGGATCAAGTCTTTAGTTAATTTCTGTTGTGATTGATCTCTATTTTGCACAGCTTCAGAGGGCTTGTCATCCATTTGCTGTGGCTGAAGCTATACAACATGCTTCAGTGTAGTAGTAACTGGGTTGTTTTTTCTTATTGTGAGAAATTTCCCAGATAGCCTAAAGGACCATAACATTTTCCATCTTAGATAAATATCTATTACATTTTCACAGCTTGAAGACCAAGGACATTTAGAAATATAGATACAGATAGAGGTCTGGCAATCCATAACTTCAAAATTTTTATTATTTCTATACTTTTTTAAAGTGGAAGGTTGGGTGCATTTTCATTACATGAGTACTTATTGAGCTTGGAGCATGTTAAATTTGGTGTGCTGTTGGTGAGGATGAAGCAGGGATGGTAAAGATCCAGTTTGTAATCTCTTCAAAGGAAGGTATCTTCAAAGACAGAACTTGCACTCTTGGCAATGATTTACTGAAGCTGACAATCATGAAGTATGACTCAAAGATGACCAATCTCTGAACCCTGGTGGTTGGATGGTAGGAAGGTCAGTACTTGAAGACATATAAAAGAAGCAGAGTGGGGGGAGATGAAGAAAGCCATTTTAGATTTGAAGTCCAAAGTGCAGAGCCACATAAGTGGAGATGCCAAACAAGCTTTTGCATCCAGTCCCGAGGAAGCGAATTGTGAATAGTCATGTGGGTATTTGTGAGATGTCAATGTAGACGTAACTTTGATGAGATGAAAGTAGATGAGAGAAATCAGGAAAAGGATAACAGAAGAAAAGAAATGACTGATTGATCCCAAGCCTACAAGTGAAAGTAACTGTGTCAATAAGTTGTTTTCATTAGTTCTTGAGGATGAGGTTGGGAAAGGGAAAATAAAACTTGAACCTTCCAACTGGATCTAAAACCATATCCTATTCTTTCTCACTCCACCAATTCTAGAAAGTGGGGGGAGCATTTTCAATTTCTCATCAACACATTCCTCTAGGCACAATTACAGATGAAATCACTGATGGATTTCTCTAAGCCTCAGAGCAGGAAATCTTGGTTAATTATGCTTCAAAATAGAATAAGGAAAAAATGGAAATATTTGATTTTATATAAACATAATAAATTTTTGGATAAAAAAATACCATAAATATTTAGAAGAAAAATATTATAAATTGAGGAAAAATACTTATACCTTTTATTATAGATGAAGGGTTAATATCTCTAACATTTAAAGTACTTCTAAAAAACAGATTAAGAAGATCAAAAACTGGGTAGAAAGTTGAGCAAGAAATTTAACAAACAGTTCATAAAAAAAAAATAATAAAAATGGCCTGTAGTTATGTGAAAGATGATTCACTTTGCTCATAATGAAAGAAATGCAAGTTGAAATTACACTGAGAAAGGGATTTCAGCCTAAGGTGAATTATCATGATGTAGACTAACACTTCTACCAATAACAGTTAGAAACACTGGAGAGATTATTTAAGAAACTATTTTCACTCAGTAGAGAGCCATCAATACAGCACAAGCTTGAGGAGGTACAAAATGCTGAATCTGACATTCCACATGTGCCAGCAAGTTGAACAGAGCCTCCAGATGTCTTATGAGGCCTGAGGGGTGGGGAGCGGCAAAACTTGGAGATCAGCGCTAACAAAGGAAGAGGTGCCTAGAAAAGTATCTCAAGTCTTCTGTAGGCACCTGAAGGGCTATATTCTGGGGGCAAGGATGAACTTGATATAGACAAGCTCTTAAAAAAGTTGAAGTCCAGTTTTTAATCAATTCAATTCCTGATTATATGGCAGTGCTCTGCTCAATCCTACTGGCCTGTCAGAAGCAAAAATAAATCCTTTCCAAAATGAGATAAAACCCCCAGAGCCTCAAGCTATCTCTACAGTTATTCACACAGAGTGTCCAGCATTCAATAAAAAATTACCTGGCATCCAGAAGAACGAGAACTAATCACTGAAAACCAAGAGAATAAGACAACATATAGAGACATGTTAGAGATCTAGATATCATAGACACAATTTTAAAATAGTGATTAATATGTTTAAGAATTAGATGCCAATTTGGGGAATTTCCATGGCAAAAAAGTTTGTCAGATAACTAGACACTATTTAAAATATCAGATGTAAGTTCCAGAACTGGAAAATATACTATAATTGAAGTTATTAACCCAGTAGGTGCATTTGGCAGCCATTAGACACAGCCAAAGAAGGGATTAGTAAACTGAAAACTAGATTAGAAGAAAATATAAAGTACAGATGAAAAATATAGAAAAGAGTTAGTAGACATATGAGATAGGGTCTATCCAATGTGTAATGTGGCAAAAGCAATATTTAAAATATAATGGCTAATTTCCCTAAATTAATGGGATATCAAACCACTGTTTTAAAAGTGCTCTGATCTCCAAGCAGAATTAATGCAAAGCAAATTTCACTCAGGCCAGTCATTGTAAACTGCTGAAAACCAATGTTAAAGAAAAAATATAAAATTAGTGTACATCAAAATAGCAATGACAGGACTTAACAGATGCCTTCTCAGCAAAAATAATGGAAGGCAGAAACAATGCAATGGCATCTTCAAAGTGCTAAATGAAAGATCACCAGTGCAAAATTTCATACCAAACAAAAGTGTCTTTCAAATTTGAATTTGAAATAAAATAATTTCAGGTAAAAAGAATCATAATTTGTTCAGGGACAAAAACAGTAGACCTACACTGAAGGACTAGTTTTCACCATGCTCAAAAATCAATTCCAGGTAAATTTTAGAACTAAGTGTGAAAAGTAACTTGGAAAAAAACCTTCACATCATTAGGCAAAAATTTCTTACACAGGAAAAACAAAACAATAACCATCAGGGAAGAGACTGATAATCTGGACAACACTAAAGTTAGCATCATTGATTTATGGAAACACACTTAACATTAAGAAAGTAAAAAATAAGCCAGAGTGGAAGAAGATATTTGTGATATATATTACTGACTCCTGCACGGAATAAAAAGAAACAAATATACAAAATAACAGAGGAGAGACAGGGAACCCAATAGAAAATGGGCAAGACACAAACAAATATGTCATAAGAGGATATTTTGTTAGTCACTTAATTTTTTGAATGACTTTTGCCTTGGCTTTTTCACTATTAAAATGACTACAGAATGTTCTAACTCCTTGTCTAACTTATAAAATGTCCTAACTCCTTGTTTAGCTCTCTGAGACACCATCAGAACTAATTAACACATAACAGTATTGTTATTTTTTATAAGAAATGATTACTCTGAAAGGGAAATTAATTGACCTGACACTAAACATTACTTCCCTTACTTTCCCTTCAGGGTTGTTTTTTGTAATGGGATCTAAAGGTACCTGTGGCTGATTCTTTTGTGAAATCTCTTTCAAGTTCATTACTATCAATGATAATAACCCTTTGGTGATATTACTTTGGAGAAACCCCTGTGGCATCATGGAGAACTTTTTATCAATAGGCAGGATGCTAGTCAATTAAACAATGCTCAATGAAAATGATTAAGAATTGAGTGAGAGACAAAGGAAGAAGTTGGAGAAAGCAAAACCCAAAAGCAGATCAAAAAATAGTGAACATTTAAGGTGCTTGCCTTACGTTTTGTCTTTTGAACCTTATTATTTTGTAATACAAAACATTCATATGAGAAATCTTAGGTTATATCACCATATCAGCACAGATTAGCATGAGATGCAATGGCAGGTTTGATCCATGACACAGAGAGATAAAAACAGAAATCAAAGTTGTAGCTCTCAATATTGCTTCTTTCAAGCAGCAGCAGCATCTGTCAGATCTGCTTCCAAAACACTAAAAGTATGTTTGATAGACATTATTAATTAATTTAATATCATGAATATGCAGGATATGTGCATACGGTATGAATATAGGACTGTGTGCAGTGAGTGGTGCAAGTTGTGTGTGTGTGTGTGTATGTGTGTGTATGTGTGTGTGTGTGTGTGTGATGTATTTGGGAAGAGGGAGAGGAATGACAGACATTTGTTACTCTGATGTGTGTGGTGTGGAACTGGTATTATCCTATCAGCTTTTACCCTCCTGGGCGATGCAAATGAGTGCCCCAGAGAAATGAGTCCATTTCATATAGACAACAGAATCTGATCAAAACAAAAATTGCCTCTACAGCTTGTTTATTCCAGTTTGCCTGTCCCTCCCCCCACTTTGATTGCTACTGCTTGGAACACAAACAAGAGGTACATTTCAGGGATCCTAGCAGGAGATGAAAGATGCTGAAATAGAAAGTGTCTGGGACATTCAGTATCTTTTTCATTTTCAATTACCAACAGCAACTGTCCTCCTCCAGGCCTTGATTATGGTAACCTTTTATAGGTCAGTTGTATTACATAAAAAGTAATAAATTAAGCAGGTCTCATCATAAAGAAAAGATACTGAGATGCTCATAGAATGCAGTTAACCAGATTTTTAATACATAAACACAGAGAGATGTTGGAGGATC